CACACACACACAGACACCACATTGCATTCTCCAGATAGGCAGGGACTCTTTTGCAGACCAGTGGGGCAAATAGCGAAGCACCCATGCCTGTCTTTCAAGCTCTGGTTGTCTTTATTTTAGAGACGGGAGTGCTGAGGTTCTGCGTTTTACAACCCAAATTATCTAATGTTCTCCCAAAATTAATAGACACAGGACTCAAGTTGCAAATTATACAACTATGATTTGTTTAAGTCATCGGCATAAATCACTCTGTCACCTTCCACAATAGCAAATATCTCAAGTTGGTGCTCAAATATGGCCCTAATTCAACAGCATATTCTAACCCTGCGTAAAAAGAGGTGTTTGGCCCGATTCTTAAGGGTCTGTTGTAAATGTTTGTGTTGCTCGAGGAGATAAAAAGAGGTAGTTTACTTTTCGGATTTCCTCAGAATCATTGTATTCCCAACCCACCCATTGCTCAAACATATGTCAGTGCAGGGGGAAGCTTTTGGTGGCGGCAAAGTTAAAAAAAAAAGAAAGAAAAAAAAAGTGATGATAGATTGAGGACACAAAAGACAGAGGAGCAAATGTGTTGCGCTAAATCTACAACCTTCAGTCAGCCCTCACATTGACTGACTCGGAGAGTTACCTCAGCTTGTAGTCGAATCAATGTTAGCCCTGAGAGCATTGAATAGAAAATCATTCAAATTGTATTATGTTAGGATATATGAGCCATTTCAAAATATTAATTCAGCATTATTTGAGGTGTCTGTTAAGGATAGCAGTTACAGCTAGCAGCGCGTTGACTCGACTGAGTGATTACGTACCTCTATTACATGTGATGTATGAACGTGTGAGAGGGACCTATTTTTCATTACCAAGACATTGTCCCTAGAGGCAGTTGTTAAAGAAGAATCTATGAATTACCCCCCTGGAACAACTGGCCCTTGTCATAAGCCGAGAAGAGGGGAAAAGGGAAGGGAAAAGGGGAAGCGCAGCACTATTGATACTGGTGGGATTGAGAGACTGGAAGGACGCCAGAAGAATGTGTCAGCCTTTGCTTGTGATCCTGCACACTGCCGCCTCTCCCTCTGTCCAGTTAATTGGAATACAAAGCAGAGCAGGGTCGATGAGAGAGCGGTGGTGGTGAGGACGGAGGAGGAGGTGGTGGTGGGGGGTAGCCGCTGTCTGTCTCCAGCAACACTCAACCTTCACTGCTCGCTGGGAATTGACTGGGGAAGCAGCAAGCGAGACCGACACACTGTCACTGGTAAAATGAACTGTCACCTTGCATTTCTCAAGCCCCTGGCAGCATCGAATTGGCCGCTTTGAACCATGTGACGTGACACTGATTGAGTTCTGGTTTCCCCCCCTCCTGGGCTCCAGAGGAAGGAGCTGGTTTAATTTCAAGTGTACAGGCTCTCCATGCAAAGTATCAGGCGCTGGCACTCCGGCGGCTGGGCAGCGGGCATCACTTCAGACCTGCATCTTTACACTGAAACCTTCTCGCTATTTATCCCTCACCACCCCTCATTATTTCATTGTGCTGCTTCGTTACTCTGCCTCTCAGCTAGTCTTGTTTTTCTTACGGCATATAGTCATGGCGGTCTGACAGGCACGCGAAGGAGGAAAACTATTAGGGGTAGCCATTTGGATCCTGGAGGCAATCCCAGGGAGTATTAAGACGTTAACCCTGGCCAAGTCACTTGTCTCTCTCAGTTACTATGCTGATGGAGTGGGGGAAAGGATGCAGTCGCAGGGGGACCCAGGAGACGGGAGCTTCAGGTCGGCTGGCGCTTCCAGATCCAATACAGCCTGACTTGGAGAGGGGGATGGTTGTCAAGAGTCTCCCAGGCTTGGCTATAAAGAGCCCCAGTGCCATAACAAAGGAAGGAGAGAGTGTGCCATTCATACCTACAGGCAGCATCGCTCCACGAAGCCTCAGCGAACAATAACACTGAAATATCATGAATATCAAATCAATATTGATGAAAATCTTGAATAAAAATCACACATCTGACTATTTTCGGATTTCTTTTGTGTCCTTTCACCTTGTTAAGAAGTGCTAAAAGTCTAGTTTTCTCATCATAACGAATAATATAAACGAGGTGTGGATATCTTAGTCCAGTGATTCAACTTTAAACCCACTGATTTTTGCACCTTGAATAACACGTCACCACTGAATCTCCAGGATATCCGTGATTTTTGTTTCTTTTAAATAAATTAAACTCCAACAACTAATAGCAATTTTCATTATCGAATAATTTAAATGTTTTCTCCGTTAGTTCATTAACTGTTTTGTGTTTAGAAATGCCAAAGTTAAGTCAATTTTGAGAGCAGCATGAAGAAAAAACCCTACAGCAACGGACAGACAAACATGCAGGGGACGTCAGATAATTTTATAATTTCCCACAACCCAAGGGGATGTCTTCAGATATTCTTGTTTAATCCAAAAGATATTCAGTTTACTGTCACGGCTGACAAAGAAAAACATGAAATCTTCCCACTGACGTTGCCTGAGCCAGCAAATGCTTGGAATTTTTGCTTTACAAAATGAATAAAAAGATTAGTCAGTTGGCAGAATTGTTGATAATTCATCTTCTGTCAGTGGACTAATTGTTGCAGCCACTTTTTCTTCATTCAGTTTACCCATTTGTAGTTGTTGCATTTCTTTGACTTCATCCAGATAAAATTCTGTATCTAGTTTTCCTTTGAAAAATCAATAGAAAGTTAAAAAAAAATAAATAAATAAAAAACACAATACACAGAGCAATGATGAAAATAAGTGCATGACTTAACAGTTCTGCCACTGACAAAGTGGGATTTTTTTTTATAAATGTGTAAGGATGCTGTCAAGAAACCAATTTGAAATATTGCTCAGTTTATTGGAAATTTTCTTTCATACACTCCATTAACTCTGCGTCTGGTCGACACTCGAGTGTGTGCTGTATGTGGTGTTAACCCAAAAAGCTGTGTTTGACATCTGCCAATAAAAATGACTCCTCTGTGGTATCTCTTAGATGACCAACCCCCCGTTATGCCATGAATACTGTATCTAGTTTTCCTTTGAAGCCTGGGGGCCCTGCAGAGTGACATGCGACAGAGGAACTGGTAGAAAACCAAGGAAGTGAGCCTGGCAATAGACTTGTAAAAGAGCCTGCAACAACTGCAAGCAGCATGGGGTACAAACAGCGCTGGGATGACCTCAAACAAAGTGCGGAGGGAGGGGGGGGCGAGCCGGCTAAAGATGCGTAAGATATCTGAGAGGAAAGAGGCCGCTTGGATCTATTAATAGGCCTCATGTTTGTGCAGTCAGGTGTTTGAGCGATGGAGTTTTCTGATTTTATTTGTGGCTATAATGGGATCTTCTTTCTTGTCCCTTTGTGTTCATTAACCATTCGGCGCCCCCTCTCCTCTCTCCTTGTCCTACATTCTCCGGCAGAAGGCAAAGACGCTGATCCGAAGGTGAAAAACATCCTCCTCCTCTCCCCCAGCTGAACATCTGTCTCCGTGGTGTTGGCTGCAGCGCCGACTCTGACACCTCCAGATGGAGAGCCCGCTGGGAGCGCTGAGGTATTACCTACAGAGATGGCAGGGATCACACCTCTGGAATGAAGTCCCACACTTGTTTTCTGCACCGTCCCCTTTTTTGTTGTTGAATCTGTCACTATTCACCATATCGATTGTCGCCTCCCCAGTCCTTGGCCTTGTGACTCATCTGAAGAGGAGGCTTTGGGCTTTGTAAAGAAGTGCACGGCAACAAACCTCTCAGCCCTTTTCTAATTTACAGTAATGGGCTCTATGGTATTTCAACTGTAACTTCTATTCATGGAGGTGTATTAATTTTTAATATAGTTGTGAGAGAACTGCATACTCATGCAGATATATTTCAAATGATTGCTGATTTCCATTTTCTGAAAACATGTTTTTCAGCGGCCTTGAAGAGATTAAAGTTCGCACAATCTAGAACATAGCCTAAATGTCCTACAGCTTTATTAGTCTCGATATTAAAAGCAATACCTGCAAAAATCTAAAGTATGAGAGCCGCTGAGTTTACTTCTCCGAGCCACTCTGGTGTCTTGACAGATTGATTCTGCATTCATTTGTGCCTGAACTCTGTGTGAACCTCAGCTTTGGGAAAAAAGGGCACCAACAGGCCAGTGCTGCTGGGGCAGAAACTGTGTGTGCAAACCCAACACCCAGTGCAAATATTGAAACTGCTGCCCCCTTACCATCAGAGGAAACTAGGTGGTCAGGTCCAGCAAGTGTTTGGCTAAAGGTGAGGCCCTGAGATGTAAAATGATACGCTTAGTTTTTCTCTTTTTTTGTCAGGAAAATGTGATTTAAATCATGTAAAATACTTTTGCAACCTGTGTCAGCTGTATCCAAGCAGAATTTGGGTAACAAATCACGGGTGAGACCTGGCTCCCTGGAGTTTGTTGTCATGTTTAGAGCCCCTGGAGGTATTTCGAGGTGAAAAGGTCACTGGGAGCCACCCCATGTGTTGTGAAAAATTCCTTCTTGTCACATTATGCAAGGGAACTTTGAGAGTATTAATAGAAGTAAATGTATAGGGAAAACGGAGTTTGAATGCCACACAAAAATTTATTTTACAGAGGGAACAAATTCTGTATCAAAATTTAAAGTTTGATTGGGCTAAATGTGGATTATCAGCATCTCCTTTTTACATACACAAGAAATAAAATTCGTTTTTATAGACTTTATTAAGCTAAATCATCTCAACAATTGTTGGAAAATACCCTGTAAATAAATAGTGCAAACAATGACACCGAGTACATCAGTGCTCCAACTCAAAACACAGCACGGGCTTATGATAGAAGGATTACAAATACAGGAAAAGTCTTGGAAGCGTCCACTTTAGAGATCAATGCACTACAAGCAGACTACCCTGTTGACTTCACAAGTCCTCAAGAAATTTTCATAGTTTTTTTTTCCTGGAATGGTGCAACTGCAGGGAACAGATGTGGAAAACTGCTCAGGCCTCCACAGTCATGTTTTTTTTAAGGTTCACAGTTTTTCCCCTTTGCCTTTGGAGAGCTGTCAGAGCCGCAGAGTTTCTCCACAGGTGCCGGGGCGCTGACCAACACGCAGCCCAGCTTCTCCCTCTTCTTCTGCTTCATCCTGCGGTTCTGAAACCAGATTTTCACCTGCGTCTCGTTGAGCTCCAGACTGGCCGCCACTTCCACCCGCCGTGCCCGCGTCAGGTATTTGTTGAAGTGGAACTCTTTCTCCAGCTCGGTCAGCTGCTTCGTGGTGAAGTTGGTGCGGATCACGTTGTGCTGGCCGGGAACCCCGAACTCCGACAGGACAGCTGTGGGGAGAAATGGATGAATGGATGATGGAGAAACTCATGGAGCTGAAGCGTGAATGGGAAAAAAATGTGAGAATGAACAGAAGGATGCACAAAACATTAGTTGCCAAATCATTCTTGGAAACATCTAAAACACTTTGGCTTCGTTATATCAGCAGAATTTGGTTTTACGCAGCAATTACGCACTGCTCACGAGTCTCATGGGTTCTTTAGATTGCACTTATTCTTAAGTCTAACTTCCACATCTGTCTAAGGCAACACCAACCTGTTTTCGGAGGATTCCTCTTCACTTTCATCCAGTCGAAAGTTTTCGAACTTTCCTCTGCATGCTCCAAATCCTTCTCCTTGCACCGGGCCGGTAACCTCGTGTAAACGCGTTCTGAATATTCTTGCTGCCTCTGATCCCCAAAGTGCAGGTACTGGGTGCTCGGTGCGACCCCAGGCCCGCAGCTGTCCCCGGTGTAAGGAGTCATGTTTGTCCCGAGGGGCGAAACCTGGATAAAGCTCCGGTCCTGCTCGGGAGCGAGGCCGTACTGGTGATGTCCGTACTCCAGAGGTGGGCCGTACATGGAGTTCCCCGGCGCTGCAAACTGCAGGTCCAAGTTGACGTGGGTCTGATGGTGCAGAGGGAGGCTCGGAGTCTGGAGGGGCGTAGAGGTCGCGGCCACTAAACGACCGTCCGGTGCGTAAGTATCACTTGTTGCGCACGAGTTGGACGACATGTATCCATGGTTGAGGTTGTGATATCCGGCCTTGGCACTGAAAATATTCGCCCCCCGGTTGCACACGGGGTAGTCTAAGTAGGAGTTCATCCTGGGCCTGCTGTTTGTTCGGAAGTGATCAAAACTGAGCGGTCATTAATCGGTGCTCCCTTTGCCCTAAACCTTCTAGGTAGTATGTCAAAGCTGTAAAACTGCCTTCCACCCTCATATCACCTTCCTGACACACCATGTGACCCGCTAAACGCCAATGGCAAAGGACCTCCAGCACTCTGTCAAGTCTGCAGGCTCGTCCATCAAACGGCTCGCATTTACATGACAAATGCTTCAATCAAACTCGCTCATCCATCTGATAAGAACACAAACATCAGGACACAGTTTCAGGCTGCATTGTGAGGGCAGCTGAGAATGACAAATTAACGACAAATAAAGAAATAATGACACATGTAACAATAATAATATGAGTTTAGTGTTATATGCCAGATCTACCGTCAGAAGATATTGCTTATTTTGAAATGGTTAAAATTGCTACAAACGTGTAAATTACTTTTCTAATCAAATATTAAAGCCACTGTAGGTAACATTTAAGTAATAATACATGGTTATAATCGTTCCTTTTTATGTATAAACTCCTTTTACCCATTTACTCTTATCTGTTCCCACTACTTGGCTAAATGCATTGTTGCAACGTAAATAAATAAAAATACTGATTTAGATGAACTTTTACATTTTAAACATAATTTTAATGATTTGAGGTGACACGTTAATCTTAGTGGCTACATCAGCGTAATATTGTGTGTAATTTAAACTCAAATTTAAATTCAAACTGAGGAAACTTAATAAAACTGGCTTGATAACTTGATTTTTCGTCACCCTGAGGTCAGGATTTCAAGTTGCCTCCTTTATCTCAACATGCCTGGACAACTTCAGACACTAAAGACTGATAAATACAAGTATATTTGACAGTAGAGGGAAAAAAATCTCTTAATTCAATGTAGTTTGCTGCTTAATTTCATTAGAAGTTGTCTTTGTTGAGCCAAAACATATATATTTTTAAGAGTGTGTGCCCTGTCTGCTGTTTTATATTTAATATAATTTGTTTGTAATGCTCAAATTCGGCATAATCCTCAGTATAGAATAACATTAAGTACATTGAATTACAGAAAACAAACTCAACTTGAATATTCGTTTGGTCAGAAGGTGTGTTGGTTTAAATATTTGTTGGATTTTTGCACAGAATCCTGCAGACAGACTCTGACAGCGGTGCAGAAAAAGGCAGCAGTGAATTCAGTGATCCATCATGCCTCTTTTTAAAGACTGACAGCTTGTTTGGCCCATTCTGCCCATAAAAGAACAAAGACACGTTTAAAGACCTTATAGGCTTTTTTTCCACCTTTTTTTCCTCCACTAACGACACTGAGACTATAATGTAAAATTTTCCAAAAACCATAACGTTCTCAGTCATCTGAACGAGGCCCTGTAATTAAGCACGAGTCAATGTGATGTTACACACCTCAAGTGCTAATTAAGCTTTAAGTAAAATAAAATAAAATAAAACATTTTTGTAAAAAAAAGGAGAGAGAGAGATTTGCCTTTTTTTGGCTGCATCTCAGCTAATTTCTTTTTATTGGTGCAGCCTAAATAACAACAATGAGCATTTTAATTTAAATTTAAGCTGAATTGTAGCATTTCTGAGGAGGCCCATGCGTAACAATGGGTGTGAGACGCACAACATGATTAAATACGTATAAATACAAATAAATAAAACTTATATTTAGATTATTTAGTCCAGTAAATAAATAAATAAATAAATAAATAACAGTGCATGCATCGAGTTAGATCAGTCCTGTTTTTTCGTCTTCCTCTGTGGAATTCACAGTTGCTACAGATGAGTCAGTTTTGGAGCTTGCATGATTCTGTCCTGAGGAGTGCAGCTCTGAGAGAAATATGAGCCGCTCAGATCGTTTGGGTTCGGTGTGTGTGAGCTGCTGAACTGCACGTCAAACTGTGGGCCGTGCGTAAAGCCTGGAGCTGGAAATTTGGAGTATTCTGCCGGGTACGCCGACGACTGCTGCTGCTCCAACTGCTGGGACTTGAGCGGAGGGGAGGCCGGCTGGTAATCCCCGCCCAGATGAACATAACCCAGGCTCGACAGAGTGGGGCTGCCCGGGGCGGAGGGGGAGGACGGGGGCGAGCAGGAGGAGTTGGTGTTGGAGAGGCCCTGAACTCTCTCGTCCTTCTTCTGCTTCATCCTCCGGTTCTGGAACCAAATCTTGATCTGCCTCTCGTGGAGGTTGAGCAGGCTGGCCATCTCCACCCGCCGCGGCCTGCAGAGGTAGCGGCTGAAGTGGAACTCCTTCTCCAGCTCCACCAGTTGCGCGCTCGTGTACGCGGTGCGCGTCCGCTTGGAGGCCGGGGTGGCGCTCGGACGCTTCTCGGTGCAGTCTGTGGAGACAAACGTGCAGGAAAAGAGTATAAAGGGCTTCACTTTCCCCTCCCGTTTTTAATTGTTTTTACACTTAAACCTCTTTGTGAGTTCAGGCCTGTTCCCAATAAGTCTTCGTGACAACTTCCAGCGACTCTGCACCTCATTTATTCTGTCTTATTAATCGACTCTGTTCATGGTATTTTACTGCTATTATAGCCTGATAAAATATTAACAGGGCGCTGCGTAAAAGAGCAGAGAACCTAGCCTACAAAATAAGTGCTAAATAAATAAATAAAAATGAATCAATGGCCGTACAAATCAACAACAACAACAACACACACACACACACACACAGAAGGAAGAGAGAAATGGAAAAACACAGGGGAGGAAGGAAACACCAGCACTCAGACAACACAAGGCTGAATACAAGTCAGTTGGAGGGTGACGGTGCGTGTTGAAAGATCTGCAGTGCATGTGGGCTGAACTCAGCAGTGTTGACCAACTCTAAATACTTTAGGTTCACGTTGCACATTTTAATGTTTGTTTTCAGCCACGTTATGTGTAAATTAAGCCAGTTTGTGCTGATTTTTTTCCCCCCTTATTTTTTTCTTTCTTCTGTTTCTGTCTTCATCTGGACAAATTGTAAAACTGCCTGAGACAAACACGTGATTTTGGGTCATAGGCCATAAATAAAATTAATTGAAATTGGCAAATTATTATTAGGCCTTATAATATAAAGAAGGAGGGATTATAGTAAATAATATTTTTATTAACTGGTTTTGGCATTAATTGATCTTTTTATGCCAATTGTTTGTTTTATTCCATATTCTTTTGTTAGATTTTGTTAAACGTGATTGCAATTATTTTCATTGTTTTCTTGTTATTATTCTCTTTGAATTGCTTCCTGGAAATGCCTACATCAGACCTTCTCCCTCACACGCTTGACTGCAGCTTAATTAATACCAAATTGGCCTTTTGGAGCTGAAAAGGAGGAAAAAATAAGCTGCAACTGTAAATGAACAAGCTTCCTGTGAGAATTGCTTTCCTCTTTTTTTATGTCATACAAACCTGCGATTCTCCTGCCGGGTTTTTGATTTGCTTGTCTGGACTCTTTCATCCAGGGGAAAATCTTTTTGCTCATGGTAAACTTGGGGTTTTGCTGTTTTGACCTCCGGGGAAACGTGCGCTCGAACGTCGCCACTTGTGCCAATTGCTGGTGCGTCGATGCTTGGCGATGAGCGCAGCCAAACCCAGCGACACCATCCAGAGACTCGCTGAAGAACAAGTCGCGGTGGATGTTGTTGTCGCTGCTTTTCTGCATTTCCATTAAATGTGCATCACCGGGGCCCCCTCTGACCTTCTGGCGGAGCGCTGGCAGCCAAATGTCACATGGCAGGTTTCCAGAGAGCCGAGGGCTTCTGGCCTGAGAGGATCCAGAAAAAAAGACGGGGACAGAATCAGGGAGGAGACTCAATGATCCATCTTATCAACTCAATAGTGTGCTGACATGAATAGCAAACCTCTCCAGGCCAGAGAGGCAAGAAGAGTTTGGCAGAGAAACACCAAAAACCTGCACAGAAACCCACTTATTTTCCTATTGTCTCCCCTTCGCAGCTAGAAAATCGTATAGAAACCTTTATATTTTCTTTAATATTTCCCTTAGTGATCTAAATGATGCATTTGGTTATGTTTCATTTCTGATCCATGCCATTTAAGAAAAAATCCACTTATTTTTAGGGCCTTAAGTCCCAAAAAAATAATGTGTTTTTTTTTTACACAGTGCATGTGCATTTTTTGGATTAAGAGAAATCTATTTATCTTATTTGTTGTCTCTTCAAAACATATAATTGCACATTTTTACAGATACATGCAATCCAGTGTAACAGACCTGCAATAATGATCAGTCTTTGTGTGAATAGTTGCAAAACTAGAAGCTTTCCATAGCTTTGGAAATTACGCATTTTTAAAAAATATTATTGTGTCATTTATAAACAGAAGTAGCCAGGATCTAAAAAATGAATATTCTTGGAAGCTGTCATTTGTTTGGTTCAGACAGGATTAGACGTAAAAAATGTATTATTGGCATCAAGAATAATACTAATTAGCAGATATAGATGTAGAGAAAAACAAAGACGTCCATTTAATAGGCTAAAAATTACCAGTAGCCTGTTTTTGTTCTGTTTTCAGTGGTGTTTCCTGAAATTACATTAGGCCCATATGACTGTTAATAAATAACAGCCTGTATTCGGTTAATGGATAGTCCCGTCTTTAACATTTTCAGGGGAACAAATTAAATGTTATATCACAATCTAGTGAAAAACTCATCCATCAAAATAATACAAGAGTCCATTGTGCGCTGCAGCTGCTTTATGCTCCTCAACTGAAGCCAAATCCGTATTTTTTTCTCTCTCTCTCCTCTCTCCAGCCTGCGTCTCAATTAAATTAAATTCTTCCGAAATTAAACAGAACAAAAAATTATCAAGCAGGTCGCAGAGAGAAGCGGAGAGAGGTTGTGTGCGTAAAAGAGCAGCGAGGAGAGAGAGAGAATAAGTCTGGAGGCATGCAGCTTTATGAACTCTGGTTGAACCGCGGCTGGAGTCAGGCTCGTAAATCATAAAGACACATAACCCAGTCCGCCGCACAACAGCTCGGCTGCCTTACCTTCACAAGCCACAGTCAATCCTCGCGGAAACAAACACTGGCGGCTCCTCTCACCTTTTTGGAAAATCTCCCAGATTAGAATAATCCCTGCAGAGGAGAGAGAAGGAGGGGGAAAAAAGAAGAGGCGCGTTGAGGATGGAGGTGGTGGTTTTGGTGGTGGTGGTGGTGGTGGTGGTGATGTGGCTTTGGGGAGGTGAAGCCAGAGTGGACAGTGATTCCTGCAGCTCACACCGCCCTGCAAAGCATTTCTGCACACAGTGTCAGGGCGTGGGTGCGTGCGTGGAAAAAAGAAAGCCTTTCTGCTGATCATGCAAGCTCATATATGGTAATAGCCCTGCGATAAAGATAAGAAAGGGGGCTTTTTTTTTACGCATTTCTATACGGCAAATGGACTTCTTGTGGCAATTAGAGCGCAGTGAAAATCCGAAAACATTAAGAGGGCAGGAAAAGCTGAAATATTTTCGCCACTAAACTCCATCTGAAGTGATTTTAGATAAGGGAAAATGGCCTTTTATAGGAAGACGCACCCCAACACCACAAGGATGAATTAAAATAATACAAAGCTACTGCCCTGGAGTGGCATTTTAAACCCCCCCAGAAATCACACTTCTCTGTTTAGCTCAAACAATCCTGGGAAGTCGTCCAGAGCTGGAACAATAAATTCAAACATCCCGTTTAGGAAGCCGGAGATGCCATAAATTACTCCGGCAAAAGAAAAGCCATCAGTATTTAGTCTGGGTTTCCACACATGCACCAGATGCATTACATCTTCTTTATGTAATGAGATTTTTTTTTTTTTCCTTTTGCTCTTCTCTAATTTAAATGAGTGATCAGATGGAGTCATTTTAAAGCAGAGACAGACAGCGGTCAGCAGCATCCATTAAAAAGTCTCCGAGCAGAAGTTGATACTGTAATGAGGCCTGCGTGCGCATCGATCCGCGCCGCTTTGATCTCTCATCTTCACTCGTTTTTGCTCGATCGCTTTGATTGGCTCCTAAAGGTAATATTTAACTGAGTGGCGTTAATTAAAGCTAATGGAGGTGTTTGATCTCTGATGCATGAAAAAAAATCCAAATAGTACACGTTTGAGGTGGAAATAGTGTTTTTGTACAAGCTGCAACTGTGATTTTTGCAGCTTTTTTTTGCAGCAAAACGTGCACATGCAGACTTTAGTTGGCAGTTTATTAGGCAGGCACACATGTAATCCAATGCAACAGCCCTGCATGCATGCTTAGTCTTTGTTGGAGGAGCTGTAGACTGCAACTGAGGATTTTTCTTCATTGTCTATGAGTGTTTCCATTGATGGATTAGTTGTTTGGCCTGTAACATGTAAGAAAATTGTGAAAAATGTCAATCCCTAAGGCAAAAATTAGATTCTTAAATGCCATGTTTTGTGCACAACCCCAAAATATTCAATGTACTGTCATAGAGGAGGACAGAAATCTGAAAATATTCACATTTAAGAAGCTGGAGTTAAAGAATTTGGATTTTTTTTTCTTAAAGAATTCTCAAAATATCTGGCTGTTATTTGAACAGCTAAACAGCTAAATAATTGTTGAATCTAGCAGCTTTACCTCGCAGTAGTCGTTCTCTATATACTCATGAAGCCCACAAGATGTAACTTAAAGCTCTGAGAAATTTCCAGTAAGTAGGCCTTGAGTTCAGAAGCTGCTTTCTAATATTTTCTCTTCACAAAATATCAATGGAATATCTTCTATTTAGTCAGAACAAGTAAAAGTCCTGCATTCAAATGTAAGTATAAAAGTATCTGCGTCAAAAAAAGTCGAAGTAGTCATTGTGGAGGATGTCCGGTTTTAGATTATACTGGATTACTCTGTGCAAGTGTCACTTTAATGTTGCAGTTTTGTCCTAATTCTCAATACTTTCTTCACTGATCAATAAAGTTTTATCTTAACCTATAAGAAGACCTACAAAATAATCCTATTTCAGTAATATGTCTTGTATTGTTAATGTGTAAAGTGATCAGACAAAGGCAGGGGAATGGAAATCCTTCCCTCCTCAACGTAATGAAGTATAAAGTATCATAACACAGAAATACTCATGTTCTTTAACATTAAGTGCAGTACGGGTGGATACACAGGTGTATCTATAAAGTGGTAACTTATAGCTCCATAAATCTTTGTGATAGGCAATAAAAAGTGCTATAAAAACACAAAGAAAATCAGCAATAAGTGCGCTGTTTAAGCAAATAAACTGATGTATGGGGAGGCTGCTGGGGGAGGCTGCTGGGGGAGGCTGGGGGTGCAGATGGACCGAGCTGATAAGTCTCTGCTGCTGAATAAAGACACACAACGTACATATAAACACCCGTTTGATCCCTGCGAGCTCCAGCTATCACTCACATATGACAGCATCCCTGAGCTGCACTTTACATCCCATCACTCCCCACTCTTCAGGCTGCCTGTCTGGTCTGTGATGGACACTCCCTCCCCCCCCCTCTTTCTCTCCTCACCCCTGCCCCCCCTCCCCCTCCAGCACCACCCTCACCCTCCGTTCAGTCTGCAGGCCTGCTGACAAATGCAGCGCCGTGCAGCCTCTCTTCTTGTCAATTAGCTGCAGGGACCACGTGTCCGCAGAGGAGGGGATTTATTGCTCCGAATTAATTCAAAGACAGTTGAATCAACAGTGGCAGCTACTGGATTTCCCACAGATGACACGGGAAAGCCAATAATACACAAATAAACAAACAACATAGATTGAAAAACACAGGTTTACAGTGCAAAAAAAATGGCAGAAAAAACAGGTTTCAGCTGTAAAATCTACATCAATAAGATGTTTTTTGGTATTTATAAGCAACAAATGAACAGATAAGCCACAGATGTTCGTGCTATATGGGTAATGTACATAATATAAATGTCACATATGTCTTCATGTGCATGAATAAACACTTAAAATGTTGTTTATATCTGCTTATTGTTACATTATCAACCATTTACTAGCTGTTTGTGGTCTCCACTGCTCATAAATGCTTAATATCTAAACAGTTATACTCTCAAGTCCAACCCAAACTCACACACAGACTTCCCTCCTGCACAAATAACTTCAGCAAACTCACTTTTTCCTTCTCGATCCCATCTTCCCTCCAGCACAGCTCCTCCGTCCAGTCCAGTCCAGCCTGCTGCCGGTCCGTTGGAGCTGTTTGTCGAGGTCCTCCTCACGTTTCCCCCCTTTCTGCAAACTAAAACTCCTCCTCGGCTACAGACAGTGGCAGTGAAAAGAAGACGTGACAAATGATGTGCGGAACAATGCCCACATTGAAGGCCTGTCCTGCAACTTTCCCAGATGTCATATCCTCCAACAATGTGGCGCTAAAAAAAGGAGGGAAGAGAGAAAAACATCCAAACTGTGCTGGAGGCCTGCAGGCAGCTCTGTGAGTAAAAATAAACTCCACACAGAACAGTTTCGACACACAGAGAGGCCCAGAGAAAGTCAGATATGTTGCACAGATGGATGCACAGAAAGGAATTCTTGTCTTTTTAAATGAATGTTTTCGACTCCTGGAGGTGAAGCGTCATCACCTACATACTCCCCAAGAAGCGAATTTGTGGCTGCTGCTGTATTTACACAAATTCGGATCTACAGGGTATATATAGATGACAGTTCGTCGGTCTCCTGGAAGCCTGGAATCATTAAATCAGCTGAATA